CTGTCAACTGTCCAGTAGCATTTCCCTGTATTTTCAAACCACAGTTTAAACTTCACACATCTCCTTGGATGGAAACTTACTATCAGACAGAAATTCCTCCTTATCATGTGTGATGAAGCCAGTTTAAAAGAAAACACCAGAACTGCATGAACATCAGTGACAAATTACTTGTCTCAGCCATTCTGCTCCTTCTTATTTAATCTCCCACTGGAGTACAATTTAGTAGGTATACTATTTTATAGTGCAGACCTCCTCCCACTAACCTACTGCTTGCAGATGGAATAAAAAAATATTTTCCATGTGTCATACCAAAATCTGAACAGCTTATAGTTGAACCTTTTAAAGTAATTATGAGTAGGAAAAGGGAGATAAACAAATAAGCTAGTACCTCAAATTTACAAGAGCCACAAAAAGTTAAAAAGCCATAAAAATGCAACAGAGGATTGTTATACTAATAGTTCTATTAATAGAATATGAAACAAACCCCTCCTTTCCTGGTGACACATCACTGAGTTACTATTTGTATACTTCTACAAGTATAAACTGAGAGCAAAACTTTTTTTTATATAGGCAGTACTATGGATTTTGAGATATTCCTATTTCGATATCTTTAAAACTGAGGCCTTGTTATAGGATGAGGTACTTGGAAAAATCTCCATGATATTGGAAAACCTGGACAGGTTTCTCCTGATTTTTTTTCAACAATTATCTCCATGTTTGCTAGAGGAAAAAAAAAAAAACAAAAAACACAAATCAGGTAGTGCACCTAAATCTCTGAAGTGCTTGCTGTTAAATTTATGCCTTTATGAAAAGACAAGGAAAATTCCACTTCCCAAGTAAAGAAATACAGAACATCATAACCTCATAGCTTTAAAAAATTATTCTTTCTGTTCTATATAGACGTCTCATCAATTTCACTTGAATGCTGCTTCTACTGTAGCTTTTACTTTAAATAATAGTACTTAATGCCTGTATGGATTTTTTGTTATCTAATAGCTTTGCTAGATTGGTCATGGATTTTTTACTATGCAACATATCTTTTCACTACTTAGTTACATGCCTGCATTTTCCAACAGACAGAGTATTACTGCGTTCTGGTCTATTCCACTGTGTTTTGGCACTGGAGAAGTGCCGTCAGATATTCATAATATAATATGCTTATAGACACAACTAAACAGAAAAAACAGATTACCTTGTGATACACTGGAATGAATGGGATTTTCTTCTAATGGGGAAAAAACCTATTCATAGTAATTTTAGTTTATAGTTGCGAAAGGGAACAACGCACCTGGAACCGACTTATTGTAAATTCCAGAAATGCAGGGAGCGTCACAAAAAGTCTGTGGTTACCTTGCAGAGCTGGCAGCTATTAACAGTAGCAAGGACTTGCATAACGAGGACTTGAGAGAAGGCTTAGTAGTATCCATGCCGGAGTGATTTAAAGAGAATGAAGGCACGTATTTCTTTATGATGCATTATGTAACACCACAGAGGGCAATCCGAGACATTCAAAAAATGCAGGACCCACATTTGATCTTATACTTGTTATTTATCACACAAGTATTTTATAGTGCTTATAGCTTAAGGCTTATGGAACACCTAATTTAGGAACGTTATCCAGTACAAATGAGTTTGGAATGTTTTAGATTATATATTCTGTGTTTTGTACATCTTTAGGAGAATATAATAGAACCTATAATTCATTTTCTTCAAACTTCTGCAATACATGCAATCTCAGATAAAATAAAATTGTCAAAATCAGTGATAGCTGGACCTTCTGGTTCACATTAGTGTGAAGAGAAAAATGCTGTTGAGCTGACACATTGATAGATTACAAATTCTGATGGAGAATAGCTAAAAATGGTGATTCAATCTTGCTGCTACTATATAAGAAGAATAACAGAAGTAGAGATGTTACTCATGATATCATGTCTTTTATCAAAACCGTAAAGGGTTCTGGTACATCAAACACATTCTCTTCCCGAGAGCTTCTGGCTCTAAAAAATACCAGTGTTAAGTAAATGAAACTAAATTGGCCTATTAAAAAAAAAAAAACAAAAACAAACAGGATGAGCTTGTGCCCTAAATTTATTTAAATATGAAAATAAAGATCAAACTGTAAAAAGACTTGTTAAAGGTCAGGGTTTTTTTTTCTCTCTCTTTTTTTTTTTTAAACAATAGAAATGCTGGTCTTGTATTGATGAAACAGAGAGCTAGGAGGATTATGAAACACAAGCAACATGAAGGGCAAATCTGACCGAATGAGAAGGAGAATATTATTACAATTATTTAAAACTTAGCTTGGTTAGTTGCTTAATTAATACAGCTCCCCTGAAATCAATAAGGCAATACAGATTCACCCAAGGCATATCTAGCAAGCAAGATAATACGGACCACTATCTTCTGTCAGGGCAGTAGACATAAACACATGTGCAGAATCATCTTTTCTAAATAGCTCCTTAATCTTTAGATATGCAAACCAGAACTTTTAAAAGAGGCACCTTAAGTACTTCTGCTATTCTACCCCTGGTCCTCCGTTGATCTGAACCTTGTGTGGTCATTTATGCTAAAGTGAAGTCAGGTTTAGACACTGACTTCAGTCCCTCAGTGGTTCATACTTCCCTGTGCTGCTGCAAATCAGAACGAAAGGCTCAAGATGGAGGGAACAGGGCCTTGGTGGCTTGTGCCTTCCTCCCACCGGCATCACCGAATGCTCCCGGCACTCCAGCTTCATCCAAAGAGTTCTGCAACAACAGAAGAGGAAACAGGGCTTCACAGTCCTCATCCATCACTGAGAGGGGTAACAGGTAATGAGAAGGAGGAAACAGAAACATTGGGGAGTGGGGGAGGGAAAGATTTACTACAGGCTCCCTTCTCCCAAACGTAAAGAAACCTCGACACAAACTTCGTCACATCACAAATACATATACAGGCAGGCACCTTAGATTTCTGACAACTCAGTGGTTTTGTTTCAGGGAAGGATAAAGTATTCTTTTCATTTTTACTTCTACCAGGGCCTCTACAGTAAGTATTCGCAGCTTCTCCTACTGTAATTAATATTTCACGTTGCATAGGAATTTTTTACCTTAAAAAAAATCTCCCCAGCAAAACTGTGACTTAAGTTGTGTTCTTAATTTGGGGATAAATGGGGAACAGGGGAAGAAAAGCAGCAAGGCAGAAAGTTCATCACCTTGGTCTAAAATGTAGGCAGAGCCAGAAACCGAGACTAAATCCAAAAAATATCTCATCCCTGTTCTGTGTTTTGCCTACAGTTCTTACACACATATTTGCCTTCTGAGTATGCACACCGACATCTTTTAGGATATTCAGGCAACGTATTAACACATCATGGATAAGGGAAAGAAGCAAGTCAGAAATATTTGGAGGGTGTGAAGCAATAAACAGTAACCGAGTGGAAATGTTTTAAGCAGTGCTCTTACGGCTTGAGAGCAAAGTAGATTTATCCACTCTCCTTCCAATCTTGTAAGGTTGATAACAAGTGAGCTGAGTTACATTTTCGGAGTTTGGAATGTAATTGTTTTTCTCTTGTTCCACAACGCCATGCAGCTCTCAAAGACGAGAGCTCTCACCGGTGGCAGCCCGCTTTTCGGAGAGGCCCCGCGGTGGGAGGCTGCGGCGCGGCAGGCAGAGGCCGGCGGGATTCTGGCCACGCAGGGCCCGGCAGGTACCCAGCCCGCCTCACCCACGGCCTCCATCCTCGCTGGGCTACAGGAGATGGGGCTGTTGCAGCCCCCCGCGCAGCGCCAGTCCCCTTTGCCAGGCCCAATATCCGCATCCTCTTCTTCTTTTTTTTTTTTTTAATTTTATTTTTTTCCTCCAAACGGCGCCTCCGCACAGTGGCGTTCACCTATTTGCTCGAGCCGCGGGGGCCACGCAACCCATCTGGGCGGCCGGCTGCGGAGCCTGCGTGCAGCGGAGCGTTGTCCGAAGAGGGTCCCACCCCACACCCCCCCACACACACACACAACCCCCCCACACACCCCCCCTCCCCAAAACCCCGTCCCTCCGGGGCACCGGGCGCGCTGCGGGCGGCGGCGGCTCCGCTCTGCGGCCAGCGGCGGGCAGCGACCACTGCAGCGCGGCGGGAAACCGCCCCGCGCGGTGCCAACACCCGCGGGCTCCGGCAGCGTGCGGGGGCACCCAGACCCTCGCCGGCTCCTTCCCCCCACGCCACTTCTTCCCTCCTCCGCCCCCCTCCCTCCAGGTACGTTTATTTCTCATCCCGTCCTCTTCCCGCAAACCCACCGGCTGCGGCCGCCGAGCCCCGGCAGCCCGGCGGAGCCCCCCGGTCACCGCCGATAGATCCCTCTCGCTCTTTTTAAGCTCTCCCCGAGGGAGCGGAGCGGCGCGGCTGGAGCTGCTCTCCACCCGGCCGCTCGTCCTTGCGTTCCACCGCCCGAGCCCCTTAAAAACAAAGGCGAGGACTGCCACTTTCCACGCTCCCTTCCCTCCCCGCGCCGCGGTGCGCGGCTGGCTACAGCAGCTCACCTAGCAGGAATAAAATAAAAAATAAAAATTTAAAAAAAAAAAAAAGGCAAGAGGAGGAGGGTTAGGGAAAGCAAACCCACGCAGCCCGCCCCACGCGTGACCCCCGTCCCGCGGCGGCGGGGCGCAGCCCGGCGCACCTGACAGCCCGCGCCGCGCTGTATTTCCCTCCCTTAGCGACAGGGGAGGGGCGCGGCGGCGGCGGCCCCGCCATTGGCGGAGGGGAGCGGCGCGGCGCGGCCATAGGCTGGCGCCTCCGCCAATGGGGCGCGCTGTCTCCGGGCGGCAGGGGGGCTGTGGAGCTATTTAAATCCAGCTCGGTGATGTCAGCGGGGGCGGCGGTTGGTGCGGGGGGTGAGGGGGAGCGCGGTGGCCGCGCCTGTCAGGCCGCGTTAGTCACGGGGCGGCCGCCGCCTCCTGAGGCGGTCGAGGTGTGAGGCGGGGGGGGGGGGGGGGAATGCGAGCGGGGGGTTTCCCGGCGCACCTGCGAAACGTCCCCGGGATCCGGCAGCTCCCCCCCGCCGCTGACCCGGGGGCAGAGCGCTGGGCCTGGTGGCGATCCTGGAATACGGGGGAGGGTTAATTTCGGGGTGTTTCCGCGCCGAGGCGCGGTCGGGTGGGCTCGCTGGTTGCGCGCGTTTCACGCTAAGGCGTCTGTGAAAGAGGAGGCAAAAGGGCTGCTCGCCGCGTTACGAATACTTCTGCAACCGTTCGGGGGGGAGGGGTTACCTCACGGTACCTTCCTACGCCTCTCTGAGGAGCGTCCAGTGCCTCCACACGGCCTCGGTGATACTGCAACAGCAGACAAGGGCATTGAATCTCATCCCTCGCACCGTGCCATCAGGGAGGGACGGCTTACCCCTCGGTGCTCCTGGTTTGGATCCCGAGGGACTGCCACAGGCGGGAAATCCCCAGCTGGAGACGCTGGTTTAAAGGTGCGCGTTTGGCCCACGAAGCACACCAACAGGTACAGCCACCTGGCCGATTTTCCTTTTGCATTTCTCATTCTGGTTGTGGCAGGTCCTGTTCTGTGGGTCACAGGGAGGATGCTTAGATGCTAAAACCCGACAGTTGCTTCTGGCCACCAGTGTTCTCTTCTCTGTTGTCCTCCCAGCACAGCAATCACAGGTGGAGTAGAAGCAGCATTACGGTACAACAGAAGAAGATAAATAAAACCAAGATCCAAACGCACTGGTCAGCTTTGGCAGAAAATGTCCGATAATTTGTTCTGAGCTTCAATATAATGGAGACCTGTCCTGAAGCTCATTTTAATTAGCCTAATAAAGGCTGAAAATTGGGATTAAAGCAGACTTGTTTGACCTGAGGAATGTAATCATCCTTCCTACAGTCCAATACTCTGATGGTTGCACAGCTCTTTCCCTTTTGTGTGACCCAAATTTACTCATGATGTGACCAAAATGCATCTCCCTTCATACAGTGGTGTGTCACTCGAGATGGGAGCTCACATAAACATCAGGTAACAGACTGCAAGCTCTTCTCAGTTTGCAGGCAGTGTGTGCTGTGACCATAGATTTTGGACTGTAACTACAGACATTTTGGTTGCCTAAAGAGGTGTGTTCAGCTATGTGGCTGCAGAAGGAGATAAGGTGTGGTGACCTATAGAAGTGGTTCCCTAAAAACAATGCTGGGGTGTGGTAAGCTGAACACACAGGGCATTAGCGAGCCAAAGAAGATTTTTGTCATGAGGAAATTGGGACTGGAAACCAGGAGGAAGGAGGTTGCTGACAACCAGGTGACCGAAGGTCTCAACAGCCTCCCTAACAGGACAGTGGGAGCAAACAGCCTACACTATTTCATGGTGGAGCTTCATAAATTCATGTTCACAATTAGTATGAGAGGGCAGGTTTAACGTGGGATTTATGAATTAAAGCTGGAGTGGGGAGTTGGTACCCCAAGGAAGGATGAAAAGCCCTTACTGTTAGGTGTGAAGGAGCTGTCATAGAAATCATGTTTCTTCACTGTGACAGGATATGGCAACAGAGGTGGGAGACAGCAGGGGAAGGCTGACCATGGAGGTGGTTTCTGTGGGGGCAGGGGAAGGCTTGTTATAACTTGGGGTCCTCGAGGTGAATCTGATTCTCTTCTAAGGCCATTCTTTCACTGAGAGTCAGATGGAAGAATGTGAGAGCCCCTTTCAGGAACTGACTCCATGTGCCTTTTCAGTCCCCTTGGCATTTTCTTGCTTCTCCCTATGTGGAAAGCTGCTTGGAATAAAGATTAACTCACTACATTCAGTGTGTTGTTTATGTATTGTATTTGTCCATTAATGCCACACTCCAGGTTTTCTGTGAGTTGCCTGCAAGGCTCAGGAAATAATATTTTCTGTTGTTTTGATTGAACTTTCTCCCCATGGTCCCTGGCTGTGTTACTTCTAGGGTGACCTGGGCAAGTGTCACCTTCCTCTGAAATACCAGATCAGCACTAGCAAGAGATGAAAGGCTGGGCAGAGGTGTTTGTGGTGGTCCCATTCCTGACTCATGCATCTTGCTCACATGCTTGGAACTAATCTTACGGTCAGATTTGAGTCGAGAATAAATTTTTTTCTAACATGGGTCATTGCGTTTTGGGTGAAAAAGGGAAGGGGGAAGCATTCACCCTCCTCTGCAGGATGGAACATGGTTTGCTTTGTTAAACGAACTTGGGCATTTGGGGGGCAGGAGCTGGTGGAATGGGCAGAACACTTTGCCTGGAGTAGAATAAACCTTAAGTGTGTTGGGGGGGGGGGCAGGGAAAGTGTCAGTACATGTGAGTGGAAGCAGGGGAAGGTGAATGGATCTTTCTGGACTTCACAGCTATGGTATAACCTTACTGGGACAGAAAAGAATGTGAAGAGTTCATCTGGTCCATCCCGTGCTTTACTACCATAAATTAGAATCTAATCTCCTCATCTCTGTCCTCGCAAATACCCAAATTATGCAATGATCTTCAGGGATGGAACTTTATAACCTCTCCAGGCATTTCTTCCAATGTACCACTGTCCTTAGCGTAGGACAGTTGCCTCTACTAGAAACTCCTTGGGTGCAGTTTAACCCCATTACTTCTTGGCTCTCCATGTGGAGAACAGGCTGTTCCCTTCCCTTTTACCATAGAATTTATTTATTTTGAAGACTGTCAGCATATGTACCTTTGGTCTTCTCTTTTTTTTTTTTTTTTTTTTTTTTTTTTTAAGGCTAACCAAACTCTTAATCTGTTCCATTTTTGATCCTCAGTAATTTTTTCTAGTTCTCTTCATGTGACCCTGGGAGACTGCAATCCCCGACACCATCTCACTTTCAGTCCTACATATCTGTTTAAGAAAGGTCTGGAGAAAGAAGGCAAGTAGTGGTGTCAACATTTCCCCATAGTCCTTTTTTTCTCCTAAACAACCATGGTGAATGAATAAAATTGACAGGTGAAATTTGCAGCCCCTAGGAAGGGAGCACACACTGTAAGGGAAGATGAATGGCTGGTACTGAAGTGGTGACATCAGCTCAAAAGAGGGACATAGGGTCAGCTGGCTGAAAAACTGATGTGTGCAGCTCCACTGAAAACGAAAAAACAAAACCCAACAAACCCCAAATTTTAGGATGCTTAAAGAAAGGGGATGCTGAATGATGAACAATAAAATGTCATTGTAAGTGACATTCACTGGAAATTACTGTATGTTGCAGCACGTCTGCTCCGGAGTTTCACAGGGTGTACAAAGGTTGCTGCTGAGGCTGACTAAACTGAGGCACCGAGAAACTAGGAGGCTCATGAGTAACTGAAGTTCAGACAAGGCAGAACTGGAAATTCCCTCCCAGTCTTGACAGTGCTTCTTTCTGATCAGTCTCTAGAAATCATTCCTGCTTCGGACTAGTGATGCATGATGTACTGTATTTTTTTCCTGTTTAGAACACATTTTGGAAGGGTCTATAATACTGTGTAGGATTCAGCTGAATTCAAGCTCCAAGATGGGGTCCGTTGCAGTCCTCTGCTTTAAAATATCATTGATAAAAAAAAAATCTATTTTAAGTGTTCTGGTCGGGACTAGTGAAGCTTTTCCATTTTCAAATGTGTTTTGTGTGGAAAATCCCTCTGTTAAATAATTACCAAATGCTCTAAGCATTACTGCATATTTTATATTTAATTTGCCTGGAAGAAATGGATGATTCTGTTGCTACAGATTAACCGCAGTGTATTTTGTGATACTCTGACTGCTGGAAGAGAGGCTCCATACTTTATTTCTTTTACATCCCATTATTCAAAGAATGGAGCTGGACAGAAGAAGGGTTTAACCACAACTCTTCTCCTAATCCCAGTCCCAGCAGACATTTGAGTTTGCAAAGAAAATATCTGCAGAAGCTGAAAATGTGAAAAACAGAGGGTGAATGATTCAACAGTACAAAGAGTTGCAGTTCTGGATCTTATTTTCTTGGCCAGCATTGGCTATGATGATTTGTTTATTTTACCTTTGACATAGCCTTATTCCACATCTCAGTGTAAATTTTTCTCAGGCAGTAAAAAAAGATTATCGCTGCAGCTGCTGTTGCATGAATTAGTTTTAGGTACCAATGGACACTAATTGTGTTTAAAATGAAGAATTTGGCACAAAAAGCTGTTTGCATTTAACCTTTTCCCTACAGAAATGGAGTTACTAATGATTCTTTTTATGGAATGAAGGATAAGATCTAATTAGTTTTGATGATTAGGTCTTTGTTCCCATGGCTCTTTGAACAGTAGGTTGGGTCAGAAGCATGTCCCTGGCTCTGCTGTGGGCAGTTCTGTACATCTTGCTGCTGTTAGCAGGCTACACCAGCAGGCCTTGGAAAGAACTCTGAAGGGTAACTGTCACATCTGTTGTCTTAGAAAGTGTTGTCCTAGAAAGTTTTGTCCTGTCTTCAAGACAAACTTAAAATTCTGATGGTTTTGTATTCTCAGCACTGCAATTGGCAACACCATTCCTGAAGGAATAAAATGCTTCAATCTTCATGCGTATTGGACCTAACAGCCCCCCTGGCAGTCAGCAGGAGGCTTTAGTATGCCAAAAAATGCAGATGTGGGCTCCTCAGCCTGAAGAAATTGCCCTATATTAGAGAGTACAGACAAATGTCGATCAATCAAACATGCCTACAACACACAAGTTCTCTCAGGGTATAAGCTAACTTCCAGGTTTTCTCCTCCGGTGTAGCACCAGTAGCTCAGAGCTCAAAGCAGTCCTTTGCTTAATTTCACAGTCGTTGCTTAAGTAGCTGATGCAGTTTGTTTCCTAAGCTATAGAGAAGGCTGTGCACACTATCTCTGCATGTGCTGGGGCTCAGTTGTATATTTTGCCCACATCAGCTTCTTCTACAGTGTTGCCTCGTTAGCACTTGCAACAAGCATCTTGTGAAGCCTATAGAAAAAGCTCTTCCAGTTTGCCAGAGACAAGCATGTCGGAAGGATGCTGGTGACCATCTGGGATTATAAACAGGATGGTTGCAGTGGTCTGTTGAGGGCCAGATCCCTAGTCAGGCCAACAAGCATTGCAAGGAAAAGATCAAGGACTTGAATAAAGCTAATTCTCTGTTCTGGCAATCAGACTGAGGAAATGCATGTTTTCTTGCAGCCTCACTGAGGCTTGCAAAAGCTCTTCCATCTCCAAAATACTGCTGAGACCAATGCCAATGAAAATAACATCCAGAAACATTTTTTACAGTATGAGTATGGTGAACTCGTGTGTGCTGAAGTGCAGGGAGCAGAATAGAACAGATCAATCTACCTATGAAGACTGGAGGGCTTATTTACCATCACTGAGATTTAGAGGATTTTTTTTAAATGTTATTGATCAGTATTTCTAAAATGGTGTTGAACTGTAGCATTCCCATTGCGATAAGGCTGTATGACTACTATTTTGGTATTTTGTTTGGTAGTAGCTTGGGACCACATATCAAAATGCAAGGAACACCAAAGAAGGCTATAAGAATGTGTTCAAACTAGCACAAGGGG